CCGAATTAGGTTTACACCAAATGGCTTCCTCATATTCTCCAATATATCCTATTGCTTGCCATTTTTATTTGTCAGAATGATACAGATGTGAGGTATTGAGTTTGCTGCTGCCTTAAGGATATCCCAGGCCTGTTGGCTAAAAGTGAAGTAAGCACTTCACTACTTAGTTTAACAAGCTTGAGAGGCTTATCACCAAGCAGATAAGAGGTGGAGTGAAACCACTGTGAACAGACCTGATTTCTAGGCAGGGCTAGGTGTGGTTAGAAACGGATAAGATAAATGTATTTAATCAATACAAATATGTTCAGATCTCATATCAAGGACTTGGCAAGTGGTCCTTGGTTAATGACTGTTTCTCCCAAATTCCTGAATGACTTCCTATCTGGATCCGGAAGTCCCGTGGCTTCTTTCCTCAAAGGCCTGCTTTTCTGTTTTGTTCCGCTCCCTCCCTAGGTCCTTTCCCCTACCTCTGCCTCTCTCCAAAGATCTTAATCATGATTCCGGAGAAGGCAGAAAGTAGGTTCTTGCCATTTTGCGTGGGTTCCGTCTGCCAGAGCCTCCCTCGGTCTGGAGTAAGATGTAAGTGAATACAGTGTAAGGAATTTCTGTGGACGACGCTGCTGCTGACGAATGGAGGGGGTGATTTTCCCAGGCGAGTCAGTTTTCGTGGCGCTTCATTGTTCTTCCCGGTGATGTGCAGTGTTCCAGCCTGGCAGCATGCTGTGAACAAAGAAAATTGTATTCTGAAGTCTCGTTAGATATGCTGCGACTTGGCAGGGGCTGAGGACAAATCACGCACCAACATAACCTTTTTAGCTCGACAAAGAACCGCGTCTCTCCCCGCCTCCCCGCTCGCTTCACGGGAAGTGCTCCCAGACGACAGCACAAACAAGCCCTAATTAAGTCTGTCCTCGCATCCCGACGTCTTTTCCTCCAACCTTTCCTTGGGTTTAGACGTGTAATTAAGAGGAAGAGGGAGAAACGAAATCAGGTCTAAGATACAGCTGAGAATTAGGAGCTACCTAATGGCAAGTAAAGACTAGAACCTCTGCTCTGGCAGCTCTTTTGACAGTTGAAACAGGGCAAGAGATGTGGTAAATTGATGAAGGAATTAAGATGCTTTTGAGGGATAAATCGATTGCAATTATCTGAGAACATTTTCTCAGACCTTTTGAGTTTCCTACATTTTTGTCTTTTGACTCTGAATGAGAGATTTTTAATGTCTTCCAGGCCATATTTAAAGGTGACATATGTAAGGTGCCTGCTGCTTCCCTGGGAAGGCACGAACACAGCCTAACAATTATATGCAAAATGTGGGGCTTTGTGTACTTATCTGAAAAGACAGTCCCATAGAGTTATCATGTGTCCAGCGGGGGCAAGACTTACCCTCTCCTCCTAAAGTTTAAGAACCACTGGAACTAGAGAAGGATTTAGAGACAAAAAATCTGGAAGGATTTAGCCACATTTGGAAGCCGGGTGGAGCCTATGAAAGTTAGAGGAGAACGAAGACCCCAGGCAGTCCCACGGGGGCAGCAGATGGTTAAGCAGATGCATCTGGAATCAGATACATCTAAGCGGAGAGCCCAGTGTCTCCCTTTATTAACTGCGCTGGCTGTGTGACCTCGGGCAAGTTGCATCTCTAAGCCTCAGTGTTCTCGTTTATGAAATGGGATGATAGGACCTACCTCGTAGAATTGTTGCGAGGATTAACGAGGTCATCCTGTAGCACACCTTCTTGTCTCCCTGTTGGGGTGTGCGCGTATGTGTGTGTGTATAGTCTCTGTCTCTACATGTATTTTGCATTTTCCTGCCCATTTTATGCCTCCTTCCAGGCCAAGCAGCCCGTGCAGCCTCAGAAGGCTCTAAGTACTGTTCCCCATCTGTGTTTTCTGCTTTCTTTAGAAAAATAATCAGTGTGAGGTGGTGTCCTTGGCTGACATCTTCCTTCCAGCTCCCCTAGTCCCTGCTTGCCAGCCAGGCCAAGAGCAGCATATTGGCACTTTCCCAAGCAGTGTAGGGAGCAGCAGAGGCTTGGAGCTTGGTGCCCGGAGCCTGGAGCCAAGTGAGCCAGCCTGCTCTGGGAAGGAGAGACCGGATCAGCCCTGGGAGGGGAGAGCCATGTCTCCTGCAGTGCCCCAGATAGCAGCTGCCTCAGGCAGCCTCAGAGGCTGCCTCTGTGGCCTAGTTCCTTTTGTAATTTGCACAACAGACCAGAAGATGGGGCTCTTGACCCTGGAGTCAAGGGCCAGAGGCTCTGACTTATTCCACATTTGAACTGGAGGAAAATCAGACCCACCAGAGCTCCCAGGAATCCCCTGCCTCCGCATTCCTCTCCCTACCCGGCACGTTCCTGTCTTATTCCCAGGGCTGGGAGCTATCTTTCCGGGGAGTGGGGAATGCGGGGTGCATCTTCCCTTTGGTCACTGTCACGGCCCCTCCTGAATTACCACATTGCCAGAGTCCGTCTAACTGACCCCCTGCCTCAGGTTTCCCCTGTAACCCATCGGGTCCCTAATGGCAGATTTCGGCAATGGGACCCCTTGTATAGGACTGTGTTGCATGGTGGCCCAGAGTTCTAGAGTCAGACAGGCTTGTCCGTGACTCATCTCATCAGGTGAGGCTCTCCTCCCCTCCGCAGAGAAGCCCTCCGCAAGCACCTCGTCTAAAGTAGATCTCCCCACCCCCATGCCAGTTACTCTATCACATGACCCTGTCATTTACTTCCTGGCAGCTAGCATAAGCTGCAATTATCTTGTTGTTTACTTGTTTACTCTCTCCTCACCGAATTGTAAGGCTCAAGAGGGCAGGACCCTGTTTGTCTTATTGATTGTTTCCAAAACACCCAACACAGGGCTGAATACAAAGGTTCTCAGGAAATATGTTTTGAATGAATAAATGACTGAATCTCAGCTTAAAGACTGCTTGACTTTGGGAAAGCTGTTAAACTTCTCTGAACCTCAGTTTTCTGATCAGTGTAATGGAGAAATAATGGAAATGTCATGAATCTTAAATGGCACAATGCATTTACACCACTAAACCCAGTCTGGGTGCATGGAAGTCTTCTCTCAAATTTTCAGCAGTGTCCTACTTTCTATCATAGGAGAAAAATAAAGTCTGAATTAATTAGCTGGCTCTCCACAATTCGGCCATAGCTTTTCTTACCACAATTTTTACTTCTATTGCTCTTCTTTATAACTTTCTGCTTTGGCCCCAATCCTGGCTACCCTGAACGGGTCCATGTGTGTTCCTATTCTTAAGTCTTTGCCCAAGAGTCGGGATGCTTGTTCTCCTTATCTTAGCTCAACTATTTTCAGATTTAGCTCAAACCCATGTCCTGTGTGTCATGTTCCTGAAGTGTCCCCAGTCATAAGAATCATTTTCTCTTCAGAATTTTTATAAACTTTGTGGTCTATATTACTCTTATGGCTCATTCTATGTTCTATTATCTTGTCATCATATTAACTTATACCCTGTTTCCTTGATTAGATCATATGCCCTTGGGAGATATGTATAATATTTTAGATTTCTCTGCATCCTGATTGCCATTTAGGTCTGTACATAGTAGGTGTTCAATACATTTTTTATTAGATTGAGCTAAAAGAACATATATTTGCTAACTACTTTCTATGTGCCCAGCATTTTTTGAGGTTCTGTGGAGTATAGAGAAGGGCATAAGAAAAATTCATTGCCTTCAAAAACTTACAATATTAAAGTAAGGTAAAGTCAAGATATAATAAAGTACTTCGATAACCACAGTATGGTAAATGCTATAAGAAAGGCATGAAGTACTATGAAGATTCAGAGGAGAGATGACATCTCATAGGGGAGTTGGGGAGAGTGGGATAAAGAAAGCCTTCTTGGAAGAGGTGGCCTCTGAGATTGACTTTGAAGGATGGTTAAGGTTTTGATGGGCAAAAATGGGGTGAATTCCAGATTCAAGAGACCTGATTAGTGAAGAGATCAAAAATAGACTGTGGCAATGAACACTAAGTCTCAGAAACAGGACCAGGGGCTTATACAGAAAATCAGAAATATTCTGCCTCAGAGACACTGAAGCACACCTTGTTTCAAATTTCAGGGCCAATAAAAGGGGCGGTTTTCAGGGGTTGAAGCTTTAACATGTACCTGACTACATTCCTCAAGCATAGCTTCTGTGGAGACTGAGAATATTTGCAACAGTTCTTTTTGCTCTAATAATGCGGGCTTACCTACAGTCTGATGTGATACTGCATATAAAGCAAAAGGCCCCTTTCCTCCTCTTGGGGATAGAGGATTGGTTGGATTGTGTCCAGCCTCTCTTTCCTTTTAAATCCCATCAAAGTGAATGCATTACTCATGATTTTCTAACCTTGCCTTAGATCGGTAGTTCTTCTGTTGTTAAATAATAATTTGCCTTACATCATTTCTTGGAAAAGTTGAACGTGTTTTTGTGGAATTATTTCAACAATCATCCTTAGCTCCACTCTGTGCTTTTCGCTACCAACCTGAAACCCAGGGAGACGACCTAAGTCACAGTGAGTCTGTGGAGAGGGTCAGCTCACTGCCTGCCTGCTTCTCTTTAATGCTCTTTAATCTGGCCACTAGCTGAGAGATTAACAAGTAATCTTAGAAAGCCCTTTTCCCTCATCCTCAATTACTTCCTTCGGCAATCCCAATGGACGTTTCCCCAGAATTTAAAAATCATTACCTAAGGAATAAAATCAGAATAGACTATATCAACACCTTCCCAGTTTTCAGGGGTCAGGTGCAGCCGCACATAGAAGCACGAGATTTTCGATTTCTAGCAAGCGCTTGGAAGGACCTTCAAGCCTAGAGGCCCCTGAAGGGAGGGAGGCGGTTTCCAAGACAACCGGGCCCCGGAGCGGTTGGCTCCCCAGGCTCCCTCCTCCTCCTCCCGGTAGCCCAGGGTACCGCCGGACAGCGTCCTCCCTTGCTCCGCGCCCTGATTGGCCGCACAGGCCGCGCGCTGATTGGCTGCGGCGATGCCTCGCGGGCCGGTGGCTATGGAGGCGGCGGCGGTTGATGGTTGACCGTTGGCTCCAGGGTAGGGGTCGCCGCTCGGGCGATCCGCTCAGACCCGACCAGAGCGCGCCGGCTGCTGACGCTCGGCCTGGAGCCCGCGGGCGAGACCTAGCTCGGATCCGCCATGCCGGCGGGGAGTACCGAGTCGGACGGCGTCCTCCGCTATCAGGTAGGGCCCCGCCTCCCGCCCCTCCCCGGGGCTCAGCCTCCCCATCCTCTGCCCACCCTCCTTCCTCTGCCCCCGAGCCCGAGCTCCGCAGGCCACTCCCTGAGGGCGAGGGGAGGCCAGCCCACGACACCAGAGGGCGCTCCGGGCGGTTGGGGATCGGCCGGGGCTGCGAGAGGGTGACCTTGGGCCGAACCTGGGAGCCGGCCGGTCTCTGCCGCATCCCTTGCGCGGCAGGCAGAGGAGCCTTGGCGGCCAGCGGGCGGTGACCTCTGTTCTCCTCGGGTACTCCCTGTTGGGAGAGAGGCTGGCTTCTGGCCTCGCCGTGTCCAGCTGGCACCTTGCTCTGAGCCAGGGACCTTGCTCTGGTCGAGCAGGTCTCTTTGTGTTTTTATTTCTGGGGGTTTCTGGTTCCTGAAAGGCTCAGGAAGAGCTGGAAAGACTGGAGGCTGAGACCAAACCCCGTTAACGTGGCCAGTTTTGTGACTCCCCCCGCCCCATTGCACAGACATCTGACAAGTTCTGGGTAGGGCAGGGGAAAAGGGTTGGGGAAGTGTTCAGAGGTCAAGAACGGGTGTTTATTTGAAGGAATGAAGAAACCAGGTTTAAGTAACTGATAACCCACCGGTTGGGGTGGCTAATGTAAGGAGGAGCTTTAGGCTAGGTATCAGAGACTGTAGGTTCATGTTCTACATCTGCCTTGCACAGCCTTTGTGACCTTGAGTAAGTCACCTGCCTCTTTGAACCTCAGTTTCCCCATCTAGTAAACTGGGAATGATAAGATCTGCTTTGTTTACCTCACAGGGTTGCTTTGTGGACTAAACGAGGTGCTATTTGTGAAAGGCTTTGTGAAATACTGTTTTCTCTGTGACAACCAGTAGGTGAGTGGGCAGCTCATTGAATTCTCTCTCCCTCTTTCCTGTGCAGTCAGATAGTATAGTTACGGCTCTGGAAAGGATTGAAGGGGCGTCATCTGAAGTGGAGGGATGTGAAGAGGATGATGGACCTTCTCAGGAAGGATGACAGGTCTTGGAAATAAGTGCTATGTTGTCATCAGGGATGGTTTCTGTAAGGAGACAAGGAAAACACTCTGAGTTTGTAGCAAACTGGGTGTCAGACACGGACTCTGTCCTCTTCTTCCTGGTAATAATTTGCTAGTAGAAGATCCATAATTCCTTCTTTGCTTGCTCTATCAAAAAGGGAACCATATCTAAGATTTTGGAAAATCTTTCTATATCTAACCCTTCTAAGGCCTAGTAAGTGTATTCAATCTATGTTTGGGATACAACGATAAGCAAAAATAGGCAACGTTCTTCCCCTCCTGAAGCTTCCCATGGGGTGGGGTGGGGAGAAATAACCATTTTTAATTAAATAATTATACAAGTAAATGTATTATTATAAACTGTGATAAGTGTTTCTAAAGAAAGATAGCCTTGGTCTCAGATCAGAGAAGATTTTGCTAAGGAAGAAATTTGGGCAAAGATGTAGAGAATAAGTGTCAGCTGAGGGAAGCGGGAGATCAAAGGGCCTTGGAGATAAAGAGAACAGCAGAAGGGGGCATGGCAAGGTAGAAGACCTGAAAGCAGGCCAGTGTGGCTGGAGCCCTGCGGAGCAGAGAGGGGAAGGGTGTGAGATGTATTCTGGGGTCAGAACACACAGGACCATATAGCCCAGGCTGAGGAAGTTGGTATTTATCTGAGGAACAAGGGGAAGCCACTGAAGGGGTTTAAGTAAAGAGGGAAAGAAGAGAGAGAGAAGGGGAGAGAGCAAGAACCAGAGAAAGAAAGAGGGCTGATGAGATCATCATCACATTTTCCTATTGAAAGATTTCTCTGGCTCCAGTGGGGAGAACAGGCTGGAACGAATGTGAGGAGACAGTGTCCTTAACATGCAGAATGTGTACCAGTTATATTGTCAAGATCATAATAACCCCAAGGCTTCTATGAGTGCTCTGTGAAATTGATAATTCCTCAGTGCTTCTAGGATAGAAATAATTGTCTCCTTTAGATCTAGTTCATGAAGCTTTCATGGGTGGTGGGATGAGGAGAAGACAAGGAATAGAGCAGAAACAGTAGGACCTCATGAAGGCTGAGTCAGGTGATGGGCAAATGGGTACTTGAGATATAGGGAGGAAAAGAAGTGGGAGTAGGAGGAGGAAAGGAAATAGGGATGACCTGGGGGGATGCAGTCAACCAACTGAAAATGAGCAGTTCACCCTCTTGCGTGCCCAGTGAGGCTGTGTGGAGGGAGATGGACCTTGCAAAGTGGGGAGATTGTGTAACTTGATGTGAACAGAGATTCCAGGCATCACATTTAAATATCACAAGTGTAGGCTGTTTTCTTAGGTTTGGATGACTGCGCCAGTCTCCTAACAGTTCCCTCTTCTTTCTCTCTTGCCCTTCTGTGGTCCACTTTCCACATGGCAGCCAGAGGGAGCTTTTAAAAACAAAGACCAGATCAGGTTATATCCCATCCTGAAACCCTGCAGTGGCTTACCAGTGCGTTTTAGAATAAAATCCAGACTCCTTCCCACAGCCTATTGCACTTTCACATGACCAGAGCCGTGCCCACCTCCCCAGCTGCTGGTCCTCCACTCTCTCACCATGCACCCCTGCACTGGCTTTCTTTCTGTTTCCTCAAAGTGGCGAGCTCCTTCATGCCCAGGACCTTCGTTCTTGTCATTGCCTCTGCCTAGGACGTTCTTCTACACGGGCCTTCTCATGACCCAACTCAAATGTCACCTCCTCAGAGTGGCTTTCCCTGACATAGTCACTCTCAGATAATCCTGTTTTATTTTCTTGATTTTTTTTTGAGGGTGAGGAAGGTTGGCCCTGAGCTAACATCTGTGCCCACTTCCTCTATTTTGTGTGTGGGCTGCCAGCACAGCATGCCTTGATGAGTGGTGCTAGGTCCGCGCCCAGGATCCAAACCCACGAACCCCTGGCTGATGAAGCAGAGAGCACGAACTTAACCGCTATGCCACCGGGCCAGCCCCTGTTTTATTTTCTTAATAACACTTATAACCTATCTGAAATGTTCTTGTCTTGATTTCTTATCTTTTTGAAGCTTCATGAGGGCAGGAACCAGGCAGAAAATCGTGTCACACAACACAGTGCCTGGAATAAAAGAGGCACTCAGTTGCGTGAGTGATTGAATGACTATTGCAGATCCAAAGCCGATGGGCCTCTCCTTAAGGAGCTCTTGGTCGTGTCAGGATTAGGGCAGAGCGTCAGAGGGCTGTTGCTCGGTTACACAGAAACTCTCCCTTCTGTGCTGCTGTGCTTTTGCTCAACTGTTCCAGCTGGAAAATCTTTCTCTTCCTCTCCACCTAGAATATTCCATTTTAACATTCAAGATCTGGCTCCATATCATTATCAGAATTCGTTACTCAGTCTTGTCTGCTCACCACACCCACCAAGTGCTGTCACTTCTCCCACTCCTTATTGTGGAATATGCATGTTCTTGTCTGCTGCTAACCTGACAGCTCCCTTTGATGTTGTTGTTTATATAAGTTAGCTTTTACTGAGTGCTTGCCGTGTGCCAGGCACTGGGCTAAGTGCTTTCCATGCGTTATCTCATTTAATTCTCTCTGTAACCTTGCGAGTGGTATGCCTTTATTATCTCCATTTTTCAAATGAGGAAACCAAGACCTAGAGAGGTGAAGTAAGTTCAGTGAGTGGCACAGCTGCCCTTCTCCAAAGGACTTGCCCCTCGTCACTCTGTGTTACTGGGGCTTGTGTCTTTGACACCGAGACCAGTGCCTGGGTCAGAAGATGTGTGCAAGGTGTGCGCAGGCTGTGTTAGGGTGGGAAGAGACTGGATGAGGGAGGCCACAAGGAGGCTGCTATTTCGGATGAATGAATGAAGGCCTGCATTACTGAACTTTGATGAGACCTCTGGAGGTGGTTATTGAAATTGTAGGAGTCACTGAGCTCTTAAAGGGGTAGTAATGGAGGAAGAAGATCAGAAACTTCAGGGAGAGCCCCTGGTTTGAACTGGAGCTGGGACGTCTTGTAGCTTCACAGTTCTCCTGATCAGCACTTTCAGAACCGAGCAGAAAGAAGTGCTGGAGGAGAAGGCTGGAGAGGTCGGAACTGTCAGCATTTGAGCCCAGGGCTGCTGGGGCCTGCAAGGAGGTTCAGGGAACGTGGAAGTGGTGAAAGGAGCAAGTGAGTTTGGCTTTTATGTGAATCTGGCCTGCTCAGAATGGAAAATTTTGCAGAAATCTTCAGAATAACAAACCCTGGTAAATGGGTGATAATTGGGAAGCGTGGCCCATGATGGGAAGAGAGTCCCGTCTTCTGTGGACTGAAGAAGTTCTGAGAGTTCCTGATGGGGACCTGAATGCTAGCGCCCAATGACTCTGGCACATGTTGGAGCTTACTAAATATTTGCTGAGCGAATGAATGAATGGCTCTGTAGAGAGCAGGTCAGCTGTTGTGAGGATCACGGTCAGTTTATGGTAAGCAGTCAGTAAATATTTGCTGAATGTTATTGAACAAAAGTATCAGCCATAGCAGTTTCTCCTCTCACCACGCGGCAGTGTGCAGTCCATGCTCCTCCGCCCTCTCCCAACACACCAGGTGTTCTTTCCCTCTGGGGGACTTGAGAATGTGAGCATTCTCTTTGCTTGGCTTTCCCAGCTCTACTGGAGAGCTTCAGTAGAAGAGGTGTGGGCTGTCGTGCCAAGCAGAGAATTGAGACAGTCTGGGCGACAATTCAGGCTGCGAATTTACTTCCTTCAAAATTTGTAGGTAATTGTCTTAGCTCGTGGTTTGTCTTGGCAGGGTAGACGGGCTCTCAGTCAAGCCTGTCATGGTGGTAATCAGGACACAGAAAAGCAACTGTGTTTCTTCTAAATCTGCTGCTAGGTAACAACAACCAACCTTAGATAATGGAGAGGCTGGTTGTTTCCTGTAAGGCAGTGACAAGTTTACTCTGATCTTGGTAGTTAGGAAGCCATTATGTGTATATTAGTTTCTATTGTTGCCATAACAAATTAC